AAAAGTCTCAATTAAATACACCCCCTAAATAATTGGCCAAATAATTCAAAGCATTAAATTCATCAATAAAATCAACAGATGTGCATTTAAAAAACTAGAATCTTGAATAAAAGAAATAAATTGTTACACATAGATTATATTGTTCACCTTAGATATGAATTTAATTACTCATAATAATGAAATAAAAATAAAAAGTGTAGAGTTCATAACAGGGTTTTGAAATCTTGATCAAGAAAAGAATTGAATCTTACACTAAAAATCTTTTTCAACCTAAAAAATATTCAGACCCTAGCTCTTGTTCTTTGATTTTGATGATTATGTATTTGTCTCCCCCTAAATTGTGTGGAACTCCTTAAAAGTGTCAAAAACTTGTATTTATACTATTCCCCACGTTTGTGTCCAATGTAGGATTTTTATAGGCTTTAAAACGGGTCAAAAACGTGCTCTAAATACACCCAGGTAGCGCCTCAGCGCTATGACAGTGTTGTGGCACCTTGGCACCACGCAGCGCCAGCGCCACCTTTGAGGAAAATTTCGGTGATACACATCTTTCAGTATTTTTATCATAAATGTCTTTTCCGATATCCGATTGAGATGATTCAAATTGCGTTGTAAAGATAACTCAAAGGGATACAATTTTACTAGACCTAATATCTTCCAATTCGAACATTTACTAGGCCAAAATAGGTCTCAATCTTCAACTGAAAATCTGGGACATCCTTCTGCGGTTGAAAATTGATTTGTAAAAATATTTTGGTCATATTTCACTCACATTGACTTCTAATTGCATACAGTTGACTCCTAGCATTCTCAAATTTTCATCGGAGCTCCAATACAACTTTTGATTATTTGCACTTTAACCCCCCAAACTTTGGATTTTACCATTTTTCACTTATTTCTTTCAATTTCACTTCCATTCATCAGTTTCACCTAATAAAGAATTATATAATAAATTAGGTTATAATTCCATTAAAATTATATAAAATACACTTATCATTTATTCAAATGTCGTAAGTTAAACGAATATTGTTCATTTTACAACGTGAAAAGTATGGTTGAGAAAAGTGGGTGCATATTCAACAGTGCTATTTTTATCAATTTTCCCTATTATACAATATTTATTATATATAAAATATACTTTTGAGTTCTATTTTACAATCCTTTTTAGATAAATATTGATTTTATCGTGCAATAATTTGACTCTTTCTCATTAAGACGATAATGCCACACACTTGTACTGATGGTTTTTCGACACTCGTCTCCCAAGATACAACGACCTCGACTTGTAATAGTAGTACTCCAAATTACAATACTTGACAAATCTACTAATATTTTAATCTCTATAAAATTGGAGGACTTAAAATACACGAAAATAATATTTGGGATTAATATGCACAATATGGAATCGTGTAGGACGAAATGATATATTTTGCAAGAGAAAAAATGAGGAAAGATTTCGGAATGAATAAAATTCAACATATGGGGACCTATTTAGAAAAGTTTAAAAGTTAAGTTCAAATGACACAACAACCGAAAAGTTGTATCTTGAACAAACATAACCTATTTGAACAAACAGTTTAACAGTCAATTGCTAGATTCTAGAAGATGTCATTTGTAGCGCACAAAAAAATCGGGGAATAAACAGATATATTATTTAAATTATAATAAATATAATTCAAATATATTTTTAAATGTATTTATTAAAAAGTAACATAAGTGACATTGCAAATTTCAACGCCTATCAATTTCTCCGAGAATTTCTAACAGTAATCAGCAGAACAAATCTATAATTGCTTGTTAGAACTTTATCTCACTATAAATCCAGTTGAATGATCAAACTTTAATTAGTTTTAAATTTTACCACTAACGTGTTTTTTTTTTTTTTTCATTTCTAATTGATTGTAGAATTAAATCGTATCCAATCCTTCTCTTTTTTTACAGACCTTGCTTAGGGCAAGTGTATAACA